TCCTCCTCCTCCTCTCTCTCTCTCTCTCTCTCTCTCTCTCTCTCTCTCTCTCTCTCGCTTGCTTGCTTATGCAATGCACTATCTCTATCGAGGTATCTTGTTCCCAAAACGTGGCTATTCCTGTGACTATAAACCCGGATTAAGAATCCAGCATTACGCATATCGGTAAAAAATTGAGCTGCAAGACCTTCGTGCTCCTCGAGACAATTTGTTTTGCAATTCAAAAATCGAGAAATTAAGTTTAAATGTAAATCAGATTGAAATTCTGAAAAGTATCTTGTTAAAATCAATCTCAATATTCGAGAGTTAGAATACCTTTAAATTGAGAGCTCTTTCATATCGAATGTGACGAAAATAGTTTGAACGTTGAAGAAGATATTTTCCTCCAACGATAAAATGTTCATCTTGTCGAGACGTTTGGCAATTGAGAACTATCCGTTATACAGGGTGCTCCAGACTGCGCTTTACACGCGCAGTAAATTGTTTGACTGATCAATCAATTAATTATTAATTTGAATTCCAAATGCAAATAAGTCCAATACATTATTCAGGCTCTTCGAAATAAGCGAACCGCTTTGAAATAAACGTTCCAACAGCACATCGTGCGCTCTCCCTGAGAAAATGTTCCATCAGCTGTCATTCTGGAATACCCTGTGTAAAGAAGCTTCGCGATCCACTCCCATCCGTAAGAGACGCAGTTTAGTTTCACTAGGTGTTTTTGCAGTAAATGCTCTGCCGGGTGATGGTCTGCGTGATGCACGGGCTGTCTTGCACGGAGCTCAGTCGTACGACCGAGCTCTGGGGCAGATTCGTACTCACGCCGTTCTCGTGGCGATTGTGGTCGCCGCTGGTGCACGCCATCGCCAGGGCGCTGCCGCGACGTCGCCGCCGACCTCTGTGATGCAGTAGCTCGCGCATACCCTTGCGAAAGTTGCGCGACAGAAAGGCGTACAGTAGCGGGTTCAGACAGGAGTTCATGTACGAAATCAGGAAGGTCGACACGGTCAGCAGGGTGCTGAAGTCGGACGTGCGATCGTAATTCGCACCCCAGTGACGCCAAACGATGCGCGCCTGCTGCGGCAGGTTGCATACGGCAAACATCATTACCACTGCAATCAACATTCTGGAACATAGCGGCGAGAGCGTTGGAGGAAATGGAAGCGAGCGATCGTTTAACATAGAGGTTTCCAACTTACGGCCCACAGGCCACATACATCCCTCCTCGAAGATTTTATCCGGCCTGCCAAGAAATTTTGGCGTCATGTATATTGAAGTAAAATTTTATTTTATTTTTTGTCTCTCTACTCAACTAATCATTCAATATTCAATTAAACTAGAGTAAGTAGAGACATATGCTTGTTTTAGTATATCTAATAATCTTGACAGAATACTCTTTTATGATTCTTTAATAATTTTCAAAAATAAAATTTTTTTGACGCCAAATTTATTACAAAAATTTAACCCTCTTGGAAAAAGAGTTGGCAACCTCTTCTTTAATAGATAAGGAACTTAAAGAGGACATGTTTGATATTAGTGAGTCTTGAACGGCGTTATACAAAATGTAATGTCAGTGAATATATACGTTGTTAATGGAGTATCAATTTCTTCAGAAAATTTTGAAGAATTTTCTCAAAGTGTCGAAATATGTAACATTGAAAAAGTAACACAACCATTGCATATATAAACGATTAAAAATTAATTATCGTATAATCAATTTTGGCATATTGTAATTAAACATATCAACGTCATTATTTGACATTGTAATTCAACATTTGTGCCGGTAATTATGAAAGTGAGCTAACATAAGTTATATATTTTTTATTTTGAAATATTTCGACTTTTGTATGTATTAAAAATATTGTTTTATTACGTAACAAAATATTTTCCAAAACTTACTTTTATAATGTATGTATACATTTTTTTCGTAATTGTAAAATTTCACGATTAGTTTGTAAGAAAATGTTTCTTAATCTCGATCCTAAATAACTTAAATAAAACCATTTTAAAAATTAACGATAAATTTTAAAAATATCTAGAAACAAAAAATAAAATAAATTTTATTCAAAACTAGGTAAAAACAAACATATCTATTTATACTTCACAATTATAATTATGTTTATTTTATTTTTACTAAAATCTATATTTTTTCTTTAATAATAGGATTTTCAGTTTTTGGAATCTCAAAAGCTTTAAAATATTCGACATATTATTTTATATTATTGTACAAAATTTATTTAAACTTAAACTGCTATCTGATGGCGTAATGGAAGAGTAAATAAGGCTCTAAGCGTCGAAACATAGATTTGAAATAAAGATTGAAATAAAGAGATATAAATAAATATACACCCAGACAGCATGGCATATCCAAAAGACATCTAGAGGATATCTCGAAGACATTTTTGGGACGACGGGACGTCCTCTGGGTATCCTTTGGATTTATACGCTCTAAGTGCCAAGGAGGATAAAATAAAGAAGGCTCTAAATGCCATAAATAGTATATCTGTAATGTAAGTAAATGTAACTTTTTTTTATTTAACTTTTCTTTTATTAAACAAAAGACAAAGAAAAAAATAACTATTACAAAAGAAATAAAAACTTACTTGCAAATATCTGTAACAGCTGATCGGCGTTTGGAGCCTTTTTAAAAAAAAATTGATTAGAAAAACTGCTCCAAGTACTATTGCTAACAACGTATATAAGGCTCTAAATGTCATTTAAATAATAAATAACTTACAATAAATTATTTATTTAAGTCACTTATTACACAAATAGTACTTAGCGCTTTATACACGTTGTTAGCAATGACATGTAGAGCAGTTTTTTATTTTAATCGTAATTTAAAAAATTGTCATTTAGAGCCTTATTTACTTTTAGTCTATTAAGAAATATCTTTTTATTTATAAAACAAAGTTTATCAGAGTAAGTAACTTATGTTAGACTGTGGTAAAAAAATGAACATGAACTAAACTCTATCGACACAATCACCAACGTCCAATTTTCAATTATTTAAAAAAAAAATTTTACGTTATTATAATATAGATCGATGTAACAGAGTAATAAATTAAATATTTTTTATTTAGTCTACTTTTTACTTAAATAATTAATAATAAATGTGCGAATAAATAAACAAAGTGCTTTATGCCTAATAAAATTTCACGACAATGCCGAAATAAATATATCCCTTGAATGCAATCACTCTCGAACGGACATTAATTTCGAGGACGGAAATCGAAGGAAGTATCATTATATATATATATATATCATACATTTTATATATGTATATGTATAAAATGATGCTTCCTTCCGGTATACATATATATATATATATATATATATACCGGATGTAAAGAGATACCTGATTACGCCACGTCTCGCCCTCAGGACATTTCTGCTGGATGTATGCACGTGGTGGACCCGACCGTTTCTGGTTCGTGCGACCAGACCGGGTCCACCAAGAGTGGCGCCGCTCCTCCAAAGGCCGACAGCTATCCTAGTGTAGAGGCAGCACATGAGAATCAGCGGCAGGAGGTAGAGAAAGACAAGATTTACTGCATCCAGAACGTTCTTGTTGTGTTTCTTGATGTTGGCTATGCAGATAATGTCGACGTCGCCCGTGTTCAAGCGATTGCTGATGGTCTCGACGTAGAGGAATCTCGGTGAAGCGTATACGGCCGCGATGACCCACACTACGCCTACCACCATCCTGAGACGGCTCCTGGTCAGCATGGATCGGCACTTGATAGGATGCACGATGGCCAGGTAGCGCTCGGTGCACACTATCACGAGAATCAGTATGCTGGCCGTGTACGAAAGCGCGTGCACAAACATGTACACCTTGCACAGGAAGTCGCCTAATTGCCAGCTGTTCATTAGATAATTCGTGAGTGTCTGGTAGACGCAAAATATGCCGACGCAGAAGTCAGCCACCGCCAGATTCGCCAGGAAGAAATTCGTGATGCTGCGTAATCGTCGGGAGAACGTCACCACGAAGATCACCATCAAATTACCTGCAAACGTAAAAACGATAAGATGTGCGTTAATAGGATACAGCGTGTCACTGGATAAAAGACTTCAAACTAGTTTATAAAGAATTATTAAGTAAAGAAGCGCAAAAGTAGTTAAATACTATTAAATTACATTTTTCAATTTTACCACTATAAACTTTTAGCGTTTAGACTACTAGAAAAAAATTAAACGCCTAAACGTACATTGTTTTGTTATTTTAACAAATTTATAAATTTTCCGAAATTAAACATATTTTTTTTTCTCTTAATAAAAATGAGAAGATCTTTTACAAGTGTTTAGTTATTTTGAATTATCTTGTAAATTTTCTTATTTAAAATCTTTTCACGCCAGCGCTACTTCGGTCAACAATAAACATGATCTATGGTCGGTGATCCAATGGAACCGTTTTACCATTTTATCGTAATAAATCTGGATCACGTCGGAGAAACAAATAGTTTTTGTGGACAGGAGATACTACCAACAATCCATAACAGCAAATAGTCCTTGGCAATGTATTAGGTTTTAACGCAATCCGCAAGACGACTGTTGAGAAGCTGATCTCTTAAATCAGTGCTCGGAATTAGTCTGAACATTTCAGCCGATTTCCGTGGTATACGCCTCCTTTCCTCTCCTTACCGCGCGCGCCGCAGCCGCTAGGGCCAGCGCCGCCGAGCGTTAGGAGCGACACTATCTGATTATGAGTGGGTTCTTTTCCCTATTTATTAAAATTTTAAAAAATGTATTAAAATTTATTAAAAATAAATTTTTTATTTTTAAATTTATTAAGTGGAAATATTTCAATAGATTTCCACGTCACCCATGAGATACTAATGCTGACGCGTTTTTTTTTAAATGGTTTCCCCCGTAGACCTATTCCACTAAAGATAAAAATAAATTCTTAATTTAAAAAAAATATATATGTAAAAGAGATTTTCTTAATTAGATTTTCTTAGCCTTTTATGAGAATGAACAATTGATGCAATAATGTAGATAAAAACCACTTTTTGAAAAACGTGTTAGTATTAGTACCTCATGGGTGACGTAGAAATCTATTGAAATATTTCCACTTAATAAATTTAAAAAAAATTTATTTTTAATAAATTTTAATAAATTTTTTAAATTTTAATAAATAGGGAGAAGAATCTACTCATAGAACCTAATCAGATAGTGTCGCTCCTAACGCTCGGCGGCGCTGGCCCTAGCGGCTGCGGCGCGCGCGGTAAGGAGAGGAAAGGAGGCGTATACCACGGAAATCGGCTGAAATGTTCAGACTAATTCCGAGCACTGTCTTAAATGATCGCGCATCTATTTCTTCTATTTCTATTTTTCCTATTTTTTTTTAGCCGTTGTATCAAATCAACATTTTCTCCTATTTTTTTATTTTAACACAATCTCTTAGTCGATAAACCGATTATTTCTGAATTGAGAGAATTCCCATGCTATAGTCAGATTTTTATCTAGACAAACTAAAAAAAAAAAAAATACTAAATTGCTCTAATACCTTTGACGGATATGCAAAAAATATCGGATTTGTTTGTTTGTTAGAAAATGACAATGAAATAGAAATAGCGCAGTAAAAAATGAGATAACAAGAAGTTTTAAGCTGCTTTAATCTAACGTCTCATTGTATATATATCTTATTTTTATTCCAAAACATAAATATATAATATATAAAAAATACATAAACATAATATACATACATATAAATATATATATATAATTTATATATCACACATGTCGTATATTAATTTATATACTGAATATAACACGGCGAGTGAATAAAATGAGACGATAAATTGAAAAATTAAAGTTAACAGCATATATTTTAGAGACAAATTATTGAAAAAAATGATCACTTGATAGCCAGTAAATTAAATAAAAAGATTAAATAAAAATGAGATAAGAAATTGATATAAATTTTAATTTTAATTACTTGTCGCTATCGCAATTTTGCTTCGACGAAATCTCGTTTTGACGTCATTTTGTAAGCAAGTTGCATGGTACTATCAATAAATTAATTAAGAAGTATAATGAAAGTATAATAAAATATAATGAAACATTGTTTAATAATCCATTCCATCGTGCTTAAAGTTTCAGCACCGTAACAACTTCCTAACAGATCGTTAAGCGATCACTACGAAAAATGTACGATAACGCAATAAAACTATTAAATCAAGGATTTAGCTTCCACGTAACTGCTTTTATGGCGCGCATTGTCTGTTAATTTAATTGATAAGATTTACGTACGATACGAGCACATCGAGCGTGGACGGTGTTATTGTCCGATAAGATATGTGTATTACGAAATAAAATTCTCTATTATTACGGCAGACAGTTGTTTTGATACTGTTTCTTTCTTTTATTGGTATAAAGAAAGTTTGTCACAAATAAAATAAAAAATAGTGTTATATAAAACATGCAAAATGATTTCAATTTGAATGTATTCAAGAACCAAACATAAAACTAGAAATAATAAAAAAAAGAAAAATAAAGAAGGTCGTGATTTTGAATAATTTGAAATGAAAGCGTAATGTATACCAATCGCGTCTATTGCCAAATATTTGTATAACCATTTGATTCATTTTTAGTTTATATAATTTTAGTTTGAAGTTTTGTTTACATGTCAATCTTTTTGGCATTTATATTGTTTCGCATTTTATGTCTAGATTTTGCTTCGAGGCAAAGACGGCTGTCACCACATGTTCCATCTTTTCGCGCACATTTCTTTACGGAATATTATCCTTTGTTCTTCATTTTCGTACTCGAGACTGCTGTATGGAAGCAGACGACGTTGCTCTGGTTAGAGAAGCGCATGCTGTATAGAGGCTGCATGGAATATAGAAAATGGGATGACATGAGCTGAGACAGAAGGCTGTTGTCGCGAACGTGTTTTTGTGAATCTTGATACAAAGTATACCAGCGCGTCTGTTTATTCTTAAAATTGAAAACGAGAGAGAGATATATAGATCTCGATAATTAAAATTTATTGCTATTTTATTGTAATAAAATTATATTAAATGTTTGTCACATTCATTTAAAAAGTTGAGAATGAAATCGACTTTTCTAAAAATAATCTTTACTTCTTAAAACGGAAAACTATTGGTTTCAATGCACTTTTTTCGTTCGGGAAAAATTTTTCAATTTTTAAAAATCCAAATTAATAAATTAATTTCAATTTATAACAGCTTAATGAAAGAATGACAAATTTTTCACATTCAACGGTAGAATACGACGTGATAAAACATAGTTTGACAATAGCGCATCTCTGGCCACGAAATAATTTGTATATTAATATAGTTTTGGCGAAAATATGAAGTGCGCTTCTCTCAAGTTCTATCGTTGAGGAATGATAATGGCACGCCGCCAGCTTGAGTTCACAGAAACTAAGTGGTCGCGGTCTCATAGCTTATTAGAAAGGCAAGGGACACGGTTGACCTGAGTGAAAAGTTCCGGCGGTTCGAGTTGAAAATTATATACCGGATGCGCGTCTCAACTTCTATGTACCACCGCTCTCTATCTCTTGCTTGCTCTCTTTCTTTTGGCGTGCACAATCGCTTTAATCCATCCTTTCTCCGAAGATTCTCTCGTGAAATTCCGCAGAATAAGACGCTCAGCTATATCCCCGACGATGGGGATTTAAGCTGTTGGCGGTCGAGTGGTTCGAGTAGCGGAAGATTTAATACGATCTAGTGCAAGAATGTCCTGAAGCGTAAATAAATCGACATATGCGAAATTCACGTCCAATCATTCTCTGAATCCTCTTTAGTCCCATCATAATACCGCTTAATCTTATCGATAACGAGCTATTTGTATTCGAACGTTTTAATTTCGAATCCATGCAGAATTAATCGGTGTTTCATCATAAGCGCTCGGTTTTTACGTGCCGATAGCCGAGGAATACGACAATTAATGTCCATCCGGCCACAAAAACTGGACGATATGATTTTTTCTTTTAATTTATTTATTGTCCGATTTAATTGACATTAAAAAAAGATAAACGTTTCTTATTAATATTTTTTTATATATTATTAAAATATATTATAAGTTAATAAAAACTACAAATGCAGTGCAAAATTAATTTTTAATAAATTCACATATTTATATAAAATTTATACATTAATAAACATTATTAATTTATTTTTGGACTTTTAAGGATTATTTAATATTAATTTAATGTTACTAATGTTAAAGTTATTTTTAACCGAGCATTTCGCTGTAAATAACGATCGATAATAAAAAAATTTAGTAAAATGGGTTTTCTAAATATTATTTTTAAAAAATGACAAGGTACAACGTAAGCAAAAAAAGTATAGAAAGGTGGAATTCTAATCGGATTAAAATGCTTATTATGTATGTCGATGAACAGTGATCTCATTGCAAATGCCGGATTATCCTTATGATTATCCTTTTTGTTCATGCGTGTACAGAGAGAGAAAGAAAGAAAGAGAAAGAGAGAGAGAGGAGGGGGGGGGGAGATTATAAACAATACTTGAAGCGTTAACATTTAGTGTAAAAAATTATTATTCACTGATTTCACTTTGTAATAGTCAATAAAATTTTACAGCAATTTCAAAAATATATTTAGTTTGCTGTTAGAGCTTTTCGTTCTATTAATTCTGTCATGTGAGAGTCGCAGCTTTTTTTTGATTGACGCAAGATTCAATGGATTTTATTAAAAAGGACCCTTTTTTATTAGATTTCTTTTATTAACACGACCAGCGAGAACGCATTAATCCAGATTAATCCTTTCATGCTCAAAAATTATTTAACTGCTACAAAAAACATATTTGTTTATATTTTTGTACACATTACATAACAAATAAACGATTCATAAAAAAATTTTGACATTTTAAAAACGTTTAAAAACTTTTTTATTTGTTACTATTCAGCAATAAATTATATTTTTATCGCAACCATGTACAATAATTTGCGTTGTAAAGTTATTATGTAAGATTTTAAATAATTTTTGTACTGCGAGCAATTAAAAACAAAATAAAATTATAAAATTATATCTCAAATGCGTGTAGATAAATAAAAAATTTTGTAACTAAAGTTCTCATTTTAAAGCAAGTTTATATTTTGTCTCGTAATCAGTCCACTATCTAAATTAAACAATTGGGAAAAACGGAACTACAACAACAATGCCTTTAATCTGTTTGCGAATCATACTCGCAAAGAGATGTGAAGCTTATTGTCCACCGTGATTTGTTTCGTACATCTAGATTAGATAATTAAAGACAACAAAGCTGTAACGATAACGACTTCATTTGGATTCACGTGTAAAATTCCCAAGTTAAGCTCATTTTCCACAAAATCATGGCAAAGGTTTACTTTCCTTTACAAGAAACAATGCACACATACATTGCTCTTGGATAATAGAGTTTGCAAAGTGCAAGAGCAAATTGCAGTTGTATAACAATTTCTTATATCTATTAATTATTTGTGTGCAAAATGTGTTAAGGGTAAATCTTATACGCATAAAAAATCTTATATAGAAAAAGAATATCAAGATATTAACAATATTTGAGTTACAAGTGATTAAAAACAACAATTATCGTGTATATTAAGTAACATTTGTATATTAAGTTTAACATTCGTAAAACTAATCAACAACCGTATGCAGATAGCAAAATATCTCTAGAATGTCTTCAAAAATATTAATACAATTAAGAATATTATCAATTATTGGTGTAAGTACGTCTGTAAAATACAGCAGATTTAAACAAATTCAAACTCAAAAGTAAATTTTCTCAATTATTATCTAATTCTACATTAACTGATTTTTGCATTTTTAAGCTGGAATTATTGCTCTACGATAAATCAATGTAATACAAGATACAAATGTCTCAATTCTGTATTAATTATAAGACAATTTAATTAAACAATTGATTTTTTTAGATATGTTTGTCCTATATAAGGTTCAAACTATAGTTACATGTTAGTTGCTAAGGTATTTCATATTGATCATTGAAAAGTAAAAAATCATCACTCTTCTTCAATGTATTTTTTTTTATTGTAGTATTTTTTTATACCTTTTATCTTTTAAGAAATCTGATCTTAATATTATATGCAGGACAATTGCGAATCACCTCGTATAAAGTCCAATATATCGAGACGTCGTTGAGAACCAAAAATCGAACTGAAGTCAGATTTTATTGATTCTCGAGTTATTTACAGAGTGGCACCATGTGGGATTTTTGACATACACAGAGGTGAAATTTCCGTTTCTACGATTAAGTATTATCGATTTATTCCGAATAAGGCGCGCGACCCTTGCCGAGCATTCCGCTGTAAATAACGACCGATAATAAAAAAATTCGGTAAAATAGATTTTCTAAATTGTCGCATGAAGAGAATGAACGGAGGGAAGCGAGTAGTTTGCTGCATCTCTTTTGCCGTGGCTTTGAGAAATAAAGCACGCTCTCCGGGGGTGGACGCAAGGGCGTGTTTGTGTCTCGCCCGGCATGTTCGAAATCATCAGTGCGTCGTCACGTCTCCGAAAATCTACGGATCGATAATGTAGGTGGTTGGTAGAAATTAATTACGCGAGAACAGGGCTAAGAACTTTGTTTTTCAAATAGTTTGCTTTGTTTGCAAAGAGACTAAAGCTGCGCGTTTAGGAATTAATCTTTAAACACGCGGTTTAGCGCACGCGCCATTTTTCCCCTTCGAATGTAAACGTGATCCCTATAAATACCCTTATAAATTTACACCTGAGAAACGGGAGAAAAGTTAACCCGGTCGGTTGAAAAATTATAGGTTCTAATATATGTATATTGTCAGCATTTGTGAAAAATAAGCTTTCTCTCCCTCTCGCTAAAAAATAAGCTTTAAAACTAAAATAAACTGTGGAACTAAAATTCAACCGCAAAGTTTCCAAATTAATATTTAGCAATTATCCGTGATAAAGCTTTATTACACAAAAATTATTTAAATTATTATTAAAAAATGTTTAATATTTCTAACATCAATATTAATGTATTGATAAAATTTTTCGATAAAAGAATTTACGATAAATTCGAAATACTATGTACAGACTCGATACAGATGATACCAAGTAGCACATGCTCGTTTCATATACGTTAATTTTCAAGCATCAATAAGAAACAGTTTTGAAACCATAATTTAAGAACCGTTTTTTCCACGTGTTTAAAAAATTTTTAATTTTTACAAAAATAATAACAAAAAAATTTTTTTTTAATTTTATTTGTGTTCTAATTTTTTTCATATATTTTTTTTTAGTATAATGTTGTTTAAACATTTTTTAAGAATTTAATGTAATAAAAGTTACATAATTATAAGTTTAATTAATAAAAATAATTTAGTATACGAATTTTTTTAAAATACTATATTTTACTATGTTTGTGATATTGATATTATGATATATTGATATTTACTATATTTGTGATATTTTATTGTAACATTTTATTGTAACATTGCAGAAAATATATATATACATATACTTATTATAATAATAATAAATTATATTTTTTTTATCTTCTGATTCGAATTATATTATAGTTATAACATTTAAAATTATCAACCAATTAAAAGATGACTGCTGTCCATCAGCGTTCTGACATGCGCAAGAATTTAATACATAGGGCGGTATTCATAGTCCGTTCTTATATTTAAAATCGTCTTAAGCACGGACTTATATTCGCTCTCTTTGTCAGACACAATCTATGTCTGACGAAGAGAGCGAATATAAGTCCGTGCTTAAGACGATCTTGAATATAAGAACGGACTATGAATACCGCCCTATGAATACCGACCTATGAATACCGACCATAGAGTTTGTTGTTATATATTTGAAGCCAGTCTGTTAGCAGTCTAGTACACATTATAGAAGTCTGTGATCAGGCCCGTGTACCGTTCTAGCAACTCTGATTCGAGGTTCTAGTGTAGCGTTCAGTGTACATACCGATTGTCATACTGTAGTGTTCATATTCTTGTGATAACGTCCAATTAAAAAGACAAATATGTCTCTCGTAGATATTTTACCAAACGAAATATTTCTAATAATTTTTTATTTATGTGATGTATATACTTTATTACAGCTCAACAGTGTATGCAAAAAATTTCATGATCTATCAAACAAGATCTTAAATAAAAAAAGTAACCATTTGCTTGTTACGAATGAAGTGTCGAAAAAATTTCGTGAACGGTAAATTAAATATAGCTTAATTCTTATTTGTATTTCAGTTTATTCTAAAATTTTCTTTGTAACACGTAATCTGTCAAACCGATTTTTGATAATTTTCGCTTCACATTGCTGTTCCTGCATTATGTTAAAATCATATGTTCGCTGATGATTCTCAATATTAAATTACTCCAAGTAACGTCTTTTGCCAGTATATGTATTTTCTATAGTTTTTCTATCTGTCTCTATCGCGGTTTATTTACATCACATGTCCATTCTCTCATACAAACACATCAGCGCTAATGTGTCCCTCCTTTCATTTTCCAAATAATAGTCAGAAATTTATACATTATATCTGTCGACGTTACAATCTTTTTTATACTTTTGTACAAGTAAATCGATAAAATCATACTTTTAGTTTCCATCAAAGCAATTATTAAAAGAAAAGTGTTCTCAGATAACAAAAATTTTTGTCAAATAAAGTACAATATATAATATGTTGATAAATCTTTTTTATACATATTAACGTTAAGTCATAGCTTTTTGTCGTATTTTTAATTCTGCAAAATTTGATTTAATTTTTTAAACATGTCTTTTTAAAATACATTTTAATATTTACATATTATCAGTACGTAAAATATTCACAATTTTACATAAGATTACATTAAAGAACGTACGACTTATTCTCTTGTACAGATGTAAACCGCTATCTTCGTATAAGTTTAAATTTATTACGCATTACAACTGGAAATATCAAAAGTTATAATTAAAAAAACTACATATTAGTTCTTACGCGAAAGGCTTACTCCAGTATATTATATAGCTCGATGACAGGAGAGGAGTTTAATCTCCCTTCTCCAGTCTTCTAGGTTTTTATGTATATTAGGAATAATATGCAATAAACTAATGTAAAGCTATTTTAGTTGTAAAGAAATGGATGAATGTATAAATGATAATACTTGTTCCCAACTACTATGGCAAGATCCTCACACTATTCTCATGCTGTATAAACAACAGGTTAAAAAAATGGATATAAGGTAATAGATCTTATTGTTGACATTAACTGGTTATTCAATTTAGTTATATTCGTTACTGTGATTTTAGAACATCAAAATTTGTACGTACATGGGATGCTTCTGTCCAAAGAAGTTCTTATGAATTACATTGTTTCTCTTCACATTATTTGTATACTATTATGACAGGAGCGAATAATAATACAATACTTCTATGGGATCAAAGATTAAATAACTGCATTCAAGTGTGTATTACTTTTAAATTTTATGTGTCCTTTAATGACCTTTATTAGTAACCTCTTATTAACTGTCTTAAAAATTTTCAGACGTATAAATTACATAGTTTTCGTAACAACCCTGTACATTCTGTGGAATTTGACAGCATCTGTATGTGTGTTTTTTCACAACAAAAAGGTTTGTTCGAATATTTTTTTAATAGTTACTATTTTGCGGATAGTGATGGCGCAAAAAGGAAGGAGTATTTTAGCAATTTTATATAAATAAAAAATGTAAAATAACTATTTTTCTTCTATTATACTTTGATTGTATAAATAAATTATATATTTAATGTCATAAAATAAAAAACAAATGCTAAATCTTTATATGTAACATGTCTGCTTCAAAAATCCATATTTCTCAAAATATAATATTAGCGTGTACAAAATCTATTTGTCCGAAACAAAAAAAAGATCTTTAATCTTTTGCGCTGGCAATTAATTCACAGGCAAGCATGTCCAACCCGTCCAATAAGCAACGTCTAAAATATCTATAAAAATAATTTTATATAAATGCAACAAACTTGTTTGTTTAAAAAAATTATTATGTAAACTACGTGTTACGTTAGTTATTCCTACATTTGAAACAAATAACATTTGACACGCTATGCGCGTTATTCCTGCGTAAGGAATAAAAAAGAATATTGTAGTTATAGTCGTATAAAACTTACAAAATTTAAAAGTTCTGAAACTTACACAAGTTTGCAAAAAAAAAATTTTTTTTAAGAACCAATTGTTATAAAATAAAGATTGTACGTATAAAGATAAAATATACTGTCCAAAATAATTTAATAAAAATTTTTAATTAATTAAATCACAACTGACTGGAATATGTTGCACATTAGTTTAATAAACTTAATTTTGAGAAAAACGCGATTAAATTTTTAGGGCCGGTTATTTCCAATTTTCTGGTAAACTTTGGAAACAACAATCATTAAATATCCGTAACTGTTGAATCAATATATATCAGCAATTTGTTGATAATGTTCATCTACGAATTAAATTATTATTACCAAGAAGTAATTTTACTCGTTATTCCAACCATCGAGTAAGGATTGCTGATATTTATTTTAGGTAACCAAGAGATAAAGTATATCAAAAAATTGGTATAATCGGCTCTTAATCGAAAATTCTCAGACCGTATTTAACTTTAAAAAGTTATCTAAAGATGTTAAATGTTCTCCAAATATTCTTAAAAATTGCAATATTACTTTATAATTGCGTAAACATTGCTAAATAAATACAAATAAGTAATTATTTTATATATTTCAGTTTTTACCTTAAAAGTTGTATTTTGACATTATAATTTTTTTATTTTTAACAAAATAAGTATAAATATATATATATATAT